ATTTCGTCGTCTAAAAACAGAACATTTGCTTCCTCTTCTTCTTCTGGAAACAAAAAACAATGATGAGATTAAGGGTTATTACATAACTAAATTTGAAATAATCTCATAAAGATTGAACAAGACAATGTTGGATTCTCATTTTTGAAGGGTTAAAAGAAAAAACCGACCTGGTACTGAGCTTCCTCTTGACGGTCAATGTAAGCGAGTAACTCTTCTTGTCTCATCAGAGCTTCATAAAGCGCCTGCTCCAATAAAAAAAAAAAAAAAGGGTTTTTAGAGAACATGAAAAGGTCTTTCAGATTTTAGTTTTGGTGGGTTTTTTAGTTGTTGAACTTAGTAGTTCAATTACCTTCTTAGTGGCTATGAGCTCGGCTTCAAGGGCATCTACACGGCAGACAGCTGCATTAAGCAGTTCTTCTTTCTCATAAGGCATCTCAGATGGCTTTGACTGGAGAGCTCCAATTTTCTCCTCAAGTTCGGTTAATTTCTTCAGCACTGAATTGAGGAGATCAGCTTCCTCTGTAGCAGTGTTTCCTTCAATTTGGGGTTGCCTTGTAGGCGGTGGAAGCTGCTTGGACACCACACGGTTTGATACTGTGCGGAAGAATGTGAGAATCGCCATCACAAACGCCATGAAAATTACTAGGACACGAGCACTGAAGCTTTCATGATCCTTTGGGACATCTGGAGGCATACGAGCTCCTGTGAAAAGAGATAAGAGACCAAAGTCAGTGTTTGATGCCAACAATAAAACCTTTCTTTCACTTAAGCGTAAAAAGGTTACCTTTTGATGGAACCCTGTTGATGGCGGCGGGTTTGACCTTACAGGTAGCGTCAACAGCTTTGTCAACCATTGGAACATACTCATCATAACCTGCAAAACCACCTGCAAAGCTCGTTTCACCAGAACCTATCTTTGCCTGCAAAATAATCACAATGAAGATTCAGAACCACGGATCAAGTAAACGATGATATAAAACGAGCAATAGATGGAGAAAGTGAATTTATATTTTACCTCTTCACGAACAGGGGTCAAGCGGAGGTGAGAATAATTCTTTACTGCTTTTGGAGACACGACGATATCTTCAGCTTCAGAACCTGATTCTGCAGTTGACGTGTCACTTCCCTTTATCCATGGATAAGACGGCTTTGCATAAGCAATCACTTTTCCTTCGCTGTTCAGAACTTTCACCACCTGCTTCGCACGGTGAGCTCCCCCGTGAAGTACCATCTGCAGTAGTGAACCATTTGTTCCCAGTAATGAAATCAAATAAAGTGGATAATACGAATAGATTGGGTGTGAAAAGGCCGAATAAGTAACCTTCAAAATATCCGGATTTTTCCAAGGCCCTTTATCAGAAAGCATACAACCTCCCTGATCTGCGCAAGTACATGTACCACCCAAAAATTCAGGCAACTCGCTGTAACAAATGAAAGATATGTCAGTACATCACTGATGTCAGCAAATCACAGAAGAGTCAGTCGTTTTAGAAGGAAAAAAAAAGGAACAAGAGTACATGCTACATACCTGGAATCGATAACCTCGAGCAATTTACTCTGATACTGGTTACCGAGCACCTACATTACACAATAAAGTATAGTCTAGATGAATTCCAGGAGCCTTTAGATGGAGCTAGCTAAACGACGAAAATGTATGAACTTACATGAATCTTAGAAGTTGTTTTGGGGTCTAGAAACTTCTTCACTGTGCTCCAAAGTACACGGAATCCGGTCCCTGCGTTGATGATAAACATTTGGTGAAGAGTCTCGGGATAATTGTCTCCATCAATCTTCTGCAACCGCGTAACAAGCTCGCGAGCAGACTTGCTGAAATTCTTTAATCCCACTCCTTGGACGTCCAAAATAGTTGTGCTTGAATCAATATGCTTCTTCGCAGCAATTGTGCAGGAAGGAAACTTGATCATAAAACTCCTCTCAAACTCCTTAACATGATATCTTAGATACCGATCAATCGTTGTAACTTGCATCAGTTTGTTAGGATCAACTCTCCCTAGCCTTTCAATATACACAGGCCTGCCTTCTTTATCTACACCGTGATAACCGTGCGGGTAATATTTCAGGACATCATCAATCTCTTCAAACTCGAAATCCTGAATAATAGTATCGGTACCAAATTCTTTCCTCCACTGGATCATATCTGCCCACATGTGCTTTGCTTTCTCAATGTCGAATTTCCTCGCCTTCAAGAACCTCAACATCATGTGATAGTCATCGTGTTTAGTTGGAAGCAGCTCGTCCATTACCAACGCCTGTCTAAATTCATCAACCGCCTGAAGCTCCTCGACATCACGAACATCTTCGATGGATACAGAACTGACTCGGACTTCGTTTTTTCTTCTCTTCTTCTTGAGAGAATGCTTGAACTTCGTAGATGCATTGATTGCTTTCTTTTTCAAAGTACCGATTCTTGTTCTCCTCTCATCTTCTGAATTCTCAAAATCAGATTTTCTCTCTTTTTTCTCATCACTGCTCAAGAATCCCTCAAAACCTGTCAAAAACAAAATCTTTTTAATTTCATATTTCTTCACTAAACACTGAAGAACACCATCTAACAAAAAATTGCAAAAACCCAGATAACAAAACAGCTGAAATTACGACCTAAATTCTCAAAATTGAGGCTCCTAAATAGCAAAACCCTAAAGACCCACTACGAAAAAAACCGAAATTGCTTCTCGTAATTCGAATACAACTCAAATCTTCTCTATACTCTTGCTGCAGTGAAACCCTAGAAATCGAAGAAATGAAATCAAAACAGATCTGATTCACTTACATGGTCTTGCGAATCGATCAACAGGACCTGACATCTGTAAGATTCCTTACACTAAAACGAACGAAATCGATTGCTCAAAATCAAAATCTTCGAGGAAGAAAATGGCTGATCCACAAATACAAATCGCTCACATTAACTAATTGCGAATCAACGAAAACTCCTGAAATTTCGCAAAAAAAAATGAAAGGAACAAAATTTCAGAGGTAAAAGTGGAGCGAATTATGGACTATTTCTCTTTTCTTATTTCTACATATTAATCTAAAATTTGTTGATAAAAAGAAAAAAAAAAACAAATTTAAATTTATTTACCTGACACCTCTATTTACTCCACTTCTTATTGTGAAACCCCATACTCTTTTCCCTTTCAATCTCATACTGTAAACTGGTTACAAGTTACCAAATAATTTTGTATGCCTTGAAACTTTAATCTCAATGTGAATAACACCAACAACAAGTCAACAACAAATTTGGGCAAAGGAAACATGGTCGTGCATTAAAAGTAGAAATTGAGGTTAATTCTGTAACAAAATCTAATAAATGGCATGTAATTAAAAAGTAGGTAAAAGACTGGGGCGTGATTGTAAATTTAATATAAATAAGTGGAAACTAGTAGATAGATTCGCTTTTTTATTCACCAGCCGACGAAGATCTGACGGTCGTTAATAAACCGTAAGTGAAATTTTAACGGATCTACGATCTGTAGGCTGTTACGTCAGAAGTTAGAACAGAGTAAAAAAAGGTAAAAATAAAATAGCCGACAAAACGGTGCAGTAAACGATGAGTCAACAGTCCTTGGCCATTTCTAGTATTTTTGTTTTGTTTTTCCCCAAAAAATATCCCGATAATTAATAACTTGAACAATTGTTTCTAAAAATTTTGTACTCAAACGTCACTCATCAGCAAAGTAAACACTAAACAAAGAATACTAATTCCAACAAAAAAAAAAACAAAGATTACTAATTTAACCAATTTTATTACGACAAAAAAATAGACTAATCTCTATTACCAATATTAAAAAAGCTCATGACGGATGCAAAGGGAAAC